TCAGACTCGTCTACAGTCCTGCCAAATTTCATGTTGATCGGTGCAGCCGTTTTTGTGCTACGGTTGACCAAAAATCACTGAAAAAAATAAAAAATAAAAAATAAAATAAAGAGTACAAAAACAATATGACTCCCGCTTACGCTTCGCGTGCGGGGGTCTTAATTAGTTGGAACAAAACCAGTAAAAGCAAATCATAAAAAAGACAAACTGGAAACTGTCAAAATGCAAATGGAAAAGCCACAAAGCTTCAAGGAGAATGTCCTTAGATGAGAGAAGACTGGAGCTTTATGGTAACAAGTTCCATCAGCTCTGTTTTAAAGAGTGAAAAATAAAACCCACAGACTGTGGTGATAGTGAAACACAGAAGCTTGGTTCTGTTCTGTAGCTCACATGAGCCCTGTCTCCATTATCCAGTCTCAATCTATTGGGTTCATGTCTGCTGGGTTCTGCTCAGGTGTGTGTCTCCATGTCTCTGTGTTCCTGTGAGTCAATCGTCAGCATGTGACTTCAGCCATTGTGGTGAAAAATATATATATAAATATTTTGCGGCACTGTTTATAATTGCGTGTGTAACTGTGGGCAGCCAGTTTTTCCAAAACCTCCTGAGATATCTGCTGATTTCAGACAACTCTGTCCAGCTTGTCTCCTTCACCTCTCTCCAGGAGTTTGTAAGTTCTGCCTGGACTCAGCCAATCCACAGGCTGAAGTCTGCTGATGTCAAAATCATAAATACTCACTTCTACCTGCCTGAAACCATCTCGGAGCTGGTTTTAAAAGTGTGGTTGAAACCAGAAATGGAGACACATTTGGCCGAGGTTGAACCGAGGAGAACCAGGCACGCCCACGGAGAGGGGKCTACGGTGTGTTGGATCTGTGCAAGGTGCAAGGAGATCTCAAGACCATAAGAGTTGGCTGGTCATGGACACACACTGCTACCTTGTAGTCATGTGGACATGATAYTAATTATGTGTGTGAAGAAACTGATTTTCAGTCAACAGATTGATATTTGTTCRTCCAACATAAATTAACCACTGCAAGCTTTGCAAAAAATAAAATAAAAAACACCCCTCAATAGTCAAACTTGCTCATCATGTCTAAAGATTAGCGAATAAGTGCTCAGATATGTAGAGAACTGTGTATTGGTTGCTGAGAGCCATCACTAATAGACTTTGATTGCAAACTGAAAAATCATGATGGCAGCCCAAGCTAAAAAATGAAACATACTAAAAATATCAAGCTGAAATTAGGGATGCCCAACAGATTCTGAATTAAAATTAAAAAGAGTCCAACTAAATTCAATTTCTCACAATAGCTAGTGCATTAGTTTAAGTGGGAAATGAGTTGAAGATCTGAAAAATATCAAGCCTTGAAGTGTTTACTTTAGGAACATATGATTCCTTAGATTTGTTGGGTCTATTGTTCTTTGTGATTGGAAAGTATTTTAGTCTATTCTTTAGAACAAAAGTTATATATGAGACATGTTTCCTCAAAAGCTTAAAAGAGTGGTGTTGTGGGAGACTTGAAGTGTAAGTTTTATTGGAAGTTCATATTTCACCTGAGAGACTTCTTTTCAGAAACCTCCTGGATCTAAACRACTGTGGATGACCTATCTCCTGAAAGAGTCCAAGCACCAAGTGTCTTCTTCAAAGGTCAGGTTTAAAGAGACACCAGTAAAGACGATCTGAATAAATGTGAAATTTAATGAAGTCTGGTTACCGTCCATTGACAATTAAACTGTGAATAAAATTTAGGCTTATGAGATTTGCAAATCATTGCTTTCAGTTTTTATTTACATTTTACACAATGTCACAGCTTTTTCAGAACTGAGGCTGTACTTCCTGTTTATGACTTTTATACTGAGCTCCGCTTCAGAACTACAGACAAATCCCATTAGACACAAATAACTACAAACCACAGCATTAGTTGCAGAACTGAAAGAAAACATCTAAATCAGCTTCTAACTAAAACTTGTAATGRAGGTTCACAAAATGTCACTTTTTCTTATCCAACATGTGAACAGGCCTAAATAAACAGAAATGTTGGGATAATATCGACTCACCCACCATCAGACTTATGAACACTGCATAAATACCCAAGTCTGAATTAGAATCTCATCTACCTGCTCAGAATTATTTTTGTTTTTAATTTGCTCAGCTGCTGACCAAACACTCCTTTAACTATCTCATCGAACTCTTCACTGTTTTTGCACACATGATGTTACATGTTGCACAAATGCAAATGCACGCACCTTACTGCATATCTTTTATTTAAACCACCTCTACCTCAACACTGATCTGGATTCTTCTGCACTCTATTTCTATTTTATTTTATTTTATTACTATATATTTATTCTGTTTTGTTTCTATGTGCCTAAGATACTTTACTTTGTTTAATTTTAGTATTTAGAAGTTAGAACTCTACGTTGCTTTATAGTTTGTCAAGTTGTCTATGTCGTGTGCTAATTTGCATCGTAATTTCGTTCWACAGTGCRTCCCTGATGTTGTGTTGAAGGACAATAAAAGAATCTGAATTCATAATAATCCTGTTTGACTTCTTTGTCTCCGTGTTTAAACAGCTGAACCTGTTTATGAGAAACTCACCTGACAGAGACTTATCTGTGCTCCACCACAAAGCTCATGGTGGTCCCGTCAAACGAGGGCGGGGCGATGATCCGGGGTCCTTGCTGGGAGCTGATGCTGATGAGTGGCTGCTTGAAGCTGGAGGAGCCGTGCTGCGGCCGGCTGCAGGCTGCCGGGGCCTGGGGAGCAGTGGTCATGTAGAAAGGACTGTCCATGTACACGCCTTCACTCTGCTGCGAGGACGTCCTGTCTCCAGTCTCTGCCTCTGAAGGCACCGACAGCTGGGACTGCACCAGGGTCCGGGCAGGTATGACTGAAGGTGTCGGCATGAAGCTTGGGTAGATCATGTAGGCGTGGCCGTACGCTCCAGGACTGAGAGCCAGGGGGGAGATGGGCAGGGGCACGGGGGTCATGGGAGGCTGCGGCATTGGCACCTCCACATAATGTCCCGTTTCAGGGTCAAAGAGGCGCTTCGTGGTGGGCTGCACAGGTGTGTCCACCAGGTAGTAGTTCCCAGTGGTGGGATCCAGGAGCATCTTCCTCTGAGTGGCCTGGAAGGGGTCCAAGGTKGGGGCCGGAGTCACCGCTGGGGAGAAGCAGTACACCTGTGGCTGGCTGGCAGACAGCCCCAGTGGTAAGGAGTGGTAGATGGTGGCAGAGGGGACTTCCTGTGGGTGTGTCTCCATCACAAGGCTGGAACGTTTCAGCTTCGGGTCGTGGTCCTCCAGGCTCCTGGACTCAGATCCCTTGTGTCTTGGAGGACTGCTAGGGCGAGCCTGAGACGTGTTTGCTGACGTTTTTTCGGCCGACAGAACAGGTTTGCTGTTGCTGAGGTGGGATTTGGCTGGAATGGTGAGATAGTTCTCGTTGCAGGCTGATGTGTTGGAAAACAGATGTTCAGATCTTTCCAGGTCCATCCGCTCAGCTGCTTCCTTCCTGCTCCTTCCTGTCTGGCTGATTTTTAAAGTTACGGGGAGTTTAGGGGACTTGGGGGCGTAACTTTTGTTGCTGAAAGGCTTCTGTGTGTTGGTGTTTGGGTGGCGAGTGTCAGCAGCCTTGTTGGACCTGGTTTTGGTCGGAGCCGGCACAGACTTTGACCCTGACCTTTCATCGTGGCTGCTGGACGTCTGAAGCTCCTTCAGGTCTGCGTCCTCCCGCCTGAGGACGCTGTCAGTCTCAGGGGACGCTGTCACTAGTGGGGTCTTCTTGTCTATATTGGGACAGGAGTCTCTTCTGACTGTCTTGTCCACGATGGGCCCTGTCGCTCCTGGTCTGTCCTCAGGTCCTCCCTGCTCCTCACGGGCKATCAGAGACAGGACATGGCTGTCTGTCAGAAGCTGAGGCTCCCTCTTCCTTTTCCACTCATTTTTATCGAACACATAAAGCTGCTCCATGGTTTTTACAGCAGCCTGGAGTTTTTCCAAAGCCACCTGATTTGCTATTTTGGACTCTGGCTTCTTATCTGTYGTCTCTGACTCTTTGTCCTGCTTGTTTGAAGCCACTCTGCTCTCAGTCCTCGTCTCTCTTTCTGATGCCTGAGCTGCTCCCTGAGGTGGGCCACTTTTAGCCTCTTCTGATTTGCCTGTGTCACAAGTCTCCTGTTTCACTAACTCCAGATTTCCTGCTTGTTTCCCAGTATTGTTGGTATTAACTGACTGACATTTGATCACTATCGGAGAGGCGGAGCTGAGATTCTGGTTGTGTGTGAGTTTCTTTTGTTCCCAGTCAGCAGAGACAGGTTTGTTGTCATTATCTAAAGAAACAAAGTGATAGGAACTTTTCACCAGTTTCCTCACGTCTCGGACTTGGTGAATGGGAGTTTGCAGCTTTGCCTTGTTGTCCCTGATGTCTCTAACCATAAAGTGTGGAACTTTATCTGAAGACTCACCCTTCAGAGCTGCAGCCAGGGCCTGACATTTAAAGCTGTCGGTTCTGATCAGGCCGGAGTTGATGTTGGGAGCGCGCAGCTTGGAGACTCCCAGAGGTTCGGTTCTGTTGTCTTTCACGCTCCTCAGGTTGATTTTWATCTCCGGGGACTTGGATGTGGTGAACCTGCAGGAGTCTGTGATGTATAAGGTGTTGTCGGAGCGCACTTTGGGTCCGCTTCCATCCCGAGGACAGTCCGCTCCGTGCGGCTGCTGCCCGGCCTCCCCGTCCCCGGACAGCAGCTGGATCCTCGGAACAAACAAATGAGACATTTGCGTGAGTTTCCCGGTGCCTGAGGGCTGATCCGCCTCGCTGTGGTCCTGCAGAGTTTCGAGGCTCCTCTGGTCTTGCTGAAACCCTAGCCCCTCGTCCTTCCAGCATCTGAAGGCGCTATTTTGGCTCCGCAGCAGCGTGCTTCTGGACGCATCCACTGCGCCTTTTTTAGAATCGACTCCAGCTCCGCTCGCCGCCTCTAAATGAGTTTGTGGYGCGGCAGCGCTCCTGTCCCGTCTCTGAGACTCGCTCCTGGTCTCCGACGAGCCGCTGTCCACGATGTCCCCCAGCTCGTCCAGGCACACGATGCTGTAGTCCGGGCTGGTCTGGGAGACCTTGGAGCCCCGTCTGGCCTCCCTGCACCTATCCCCCTCCTGCTGCGGCTCCCTGATCTCTCCTCTCTCCATCCTGCGCTCCTGCTCGAACTGCATCTTCTTGGACAGGACATTTTTGATGAGGCTCGAGGCGAACACGGCCTTCTTGTGCGCGTCCTCCATGGCTCTGAGGGGCGTCCCGCTGGCCCCACTCAGCGCGCTGCTGGTAACTCCATCCGCGGAACGTGATCCTGCTGCGCTTTGTGCGCACGGCGCGCGCTTTTCTCCCGCAGACTTGACGTTGCAGCGGAAGTTGAGTGTCTCTGTGAGCCGGATGACCCCGCCGTGGCCCTGGCCGAACTTTCCCATCAGCTGGATCTGCTGCGTGCGGGGCGTGCCGCTCAGAGTGAACAGCTGGCTGCTGGGAGCTGTGATGAAACCTCTGCTGTCTGGGTTCGTCTCCACGTTCATGTTGCCATATTGCAGGTCGACAAACGTGGACCACCTGTTCAGGTCTGAGGCCGAGGACTCGCTGGAGGTGCTGAAGCTGAAGGCATACGGCTGGGCCAGGCTCCTGAAGGCCCTGGCTGTCAGGCTGCGCACCTCCTTGTCAGCGTCGTCCAGCTCGCTGACAGCACTGGACGTGCTGCTGGACAGCTCCTGCGTCTCTTTTCTTCTTAATTTGCCGCCAAAATGCACGCGCCCGGGCGCAGCTATGAGACACTTGTCACACAGAGGCTCTGCCTTCCCGTCCACTCCCCTAAACACGCAGCGGCTCATGTCTCCGGCGCGCCTGGCATGATAAATGAGATTTTCCTGGTCTCGAGCGGTGCCAGGGTCATTTATAGCTCGCGAGGTGGTTCTGATTGACAGGTGGATCTGTCCCCCACTGTTGCCGCCGCTCTGCTCCTCTGAGCCGGAGAACTTGGCCGCGGCGCGCGGATCACTTTCAGGCAGAGTGCTGACCGCTGCTGCGCTCTGAGCGCGCGCGTCCCCCTCCAAGCGGTAATCCACAAACGGGTACACCTGGCCGTCATCTTCAACGTCCCAGCTGCCCGCCGAGGAGCCCACCCCGAAGTCCCCCTCGTGGTCTGAGAGCTCGGAGAGCTGGATCTCGTGCGTGGTGATGTAGTGAGACTCGTCCTCCGTCACGAAAGGGCCGGACTCGTAAAAAAGCACCAAACCTTCATCCTCCTCTTCCTCCTCATTGTCCTCAGACTCACTCCTCCCGCTCAGATAATCGCAGCCCCGGGCTGTTTTGTCCTCGTGCTGCGTGTCCTCTGTCTCTTCTGTCCTGTCCAGATGCGTCATTACGCGCGCGCTTTCACCTCCCAGCTGAAGGGAGGCCTCTGTCTTTGTCGCACAGCGGGGTGATGATGACGATGATGGATCAGCTTTTCTGCCAGGCAGGTCAGAGTCTGGAGTCCCGGCACCGCCACCGACCCGCTCCCGGTCTGGCTCCCCGCTCCTCTCCGGTTCCGCTCCGCTCCTCTTCAGGTCCATATACTTGGTTTGGTCTGGCTTCTCCAGGACGCGCCGTCCCGCTGCTACTATCTGGAGCAGGTCCGTCACCTGTGCGCGCGCTGCCGACGCCTCGGCGCACCTTGTGTCGCTCTTCATGGTGCCGGGCTCTGACCCGAGGCGAGGATCCGCGCGGAGCTCCGGTGAGGCAGACTGATGACACCCAGACGATCCGGACATACCAGCTACAGACTGAGCTGCTAAAAGGAACCAGAGATATTTCTCAGTACTGTCTAGGACACATGACCGTCAAGCTGCGGTTTGTGGGCCAACGAGGGTCGTTAACCCTTTCAGCAAAATCCATTTTTTTATTCCAAGGAAACATTTTTAATCACATCTTCCAAATGGAATGGATTTTTTAAAATTCCTTTTCCTGAATTTTGTGGCATCATCATTATTTTGTCCTGAAGATGCAAAATTAGAATGTTCGTTATGATTGGTTTATGTGTTTGTTAGCAAAATATCTCCTGAACAAGAGAAGGTGTTCTAATGAAACTCTCAGARGGTCAACATTAGATGGACATCTGAAACTGATTCACTTCTGGAGTCACTTACACAAACACATGATCTGCGTTAAACTGTCTGTTAGCAAAATATCCCAAGAAGCACTTTTAATAAAAACCTTCAGCAGCATTAAATAATGTGGGATTCAATAAAAGGAGATTCTGCTCATTTAAACTTAGTGGTTCTGAGTAGTGCTGATCATTAAAATGACCCCTTTGATGTTTTAGGTTTTTATTATTATAAATGTCTGGATCTGTTGTTCATTTGTTCTGTAGGTTTATATGGTTTTTGTTTCTTGATTGTCTTTAAGTCTCATCAGTCCCTCGATCCTGAAATGCCCACACCTGTCTCACATCTGTTGTCTCCATTAGCTCAGCTGTTCATCACTTTTTGTTTGATTGATGTTTCTCCAGCTCCTCGTGTCCATCTGCATTCTGTGTCTCACGCTAAACTCTGAGTCTTGGTCAATATAAACCATTCTTTTCTGAGAAAAAGAATCCTTCAGTGACAAAAAATAAAATTAGAGTAACAAACATTAAATAGAGTCTGAGAGCAGAGCGCTCTGTTTGTAATAACATTCATAACGAGACATTCTGCAGCTGAAGATTAGACAACAAAATATTAAGTTAAAAACAAGTTTATTTTTCATTATTTTATTAAACTACATTTTTTTAAATTTTATTATTTTCAAGTTATTTTAATGATCTTTGTGGGTTTTTCATTCTTTAATGAAAAGTTTGGACCTGTGGTCTCAGGACCACYTGAGTTAAAAACCTGCAGGTTGACTGGTTTCCCTGTGAGAATGAACAGTTGTTTTTATGTGTCCCTGTAATGGACAGACACCTGTCCAGGTGTCCTCTGTCCCTCACACAAAGGGGGATGAATGGTTCAATTAAATGAGATTAAAATACTTTATTCAGTAAAATGTAAGAACCAGAGCCATAAAAAACGAAATGTTCCTGTCAGACTCCTGAACCAGTGTCTGGCTCAGCCCGAGGCTGAGCCGATAACATTTCTGCAGAGACAGACAACTTGGTGTCTGTTTTTAAAAATACCCTGTGACTAAATGTGAAGAGTGCAGCTGTGGGAGGAAGAGGAGGAGACGTGTGCTGAACACAAATGAAAGCAGCGCCACAGATAAACACTGCAGTGACAACRACTCATCAGCCACACAGCTGACAGGCTGCAGCAGGTCACACAGGGCCAGTCTGTGTCAGAGAGGCCACACTGACRATCAGGGATCATATCCTGACCACCATACAGAGGTGGGGATTTATCACCAGAGGTGTCAGCTAACTAAGTACAAATACTTTGTTACTTTACTGAAGTAGTAGTTTTGGTTATTTATGCTTTAGTGGAGTAATTAATTTTCAGCCTACTTTTTATTCTTACATTTTAATTCAATTATCTGTACTTTCTACTCC